ACATACATTAAATTTTAGATTTATTTTTTGTATTAGACTGAGAAAGACTACTCAAGATTTGGGGGTCCTCTGGACCGAGGGCCGAAAATAACCGACAGGTTAATTAATTGCAAATGCTTATGCAATTTCCTCATTCTACAAAAAAGATTATCAAAGAATAAATAGGGTGTTGTGTTTTTTGGTAGATAAATTAAAACAAATTGTTTTATATTAATTTATTTTTTGGTATTTCTACATTTATAAAATAATTTAAGATAACATCAATAATAAACAGGCAAAACCGGCATACACATGTTTTTTTTTAACTTATTGGAATGTAAACAACAGACTATAATAATGAAGGATGCAAATACTGGTTACATGTCTCTACTTCTAAAAGCAAACTTTTTTCTAAAAACTCCTTCATAAGCAAAACAGTTTTTAAGGCAAAACTACAAAGTACATATTGCACAATTTTGAATTCAAAATATATTGATCACAATCAAAATTCAGCATACATCTATTGCACGAAACTTGAAAACATTAAAAACAAACAAACATTATCAATTATTTGGTTACATAAATACATAAATATAAATAAATAAATATTCTATTCTACAAGATTAAGAAAACTTCAACTTTATTGTCGTTTTATCATGTCCAATTGTTTTACCAAGTTGAAATTTTCTTATCTTATGTGCATGAGTGACAAATATTAAAGCTTGAACCATATATCAATGCGTTGAACAATTGGTTAATGGTTAAGGTAATATTTTCGAAAATAATAATAATAAGTACAAAAAATCCACATCAAATTTGTCGTGTTATATCGACGTTTTGTTACGAAATGTATAAAAATTATTACAGTTTGTAAAAATTGTATAGAGGATAATTCATTTAATTATTACATTAGGGAATTATATTGTGTCAATGTTTATTCGTGCTTGTAGGTATGGTAAATGAATTATCCTGTATTTAACACTTTTATAAAAACTTTTAATCGTGAAATACCTATCACAACTTTTATCCCAATATTTGCAAAATGGTTTATAAATCATAAATTTTCCCTGGTTATAATTTTTTGGTGTACAGTAAGCAGTTAAATGTAAGTATGGAATTAAAAAATAGTCACTTAAAAACGAAATAGAAACAAATATTCAGTAATATTCTATGATTCTTTTTAAATTTTATTATTGTTAAAGTTCATTTTATTTTTTTTTTCAAACCAAAATAAAAACCGACTAGAAAAAAAATTGTCCCACTATGGGATTTGCTGCGTTTTTTCTATAAAAAAAATTTAAATGGCAAACTTTTAAAAATGTATTTGTTTTTCTGAAAAACTAAAAAATTGTACAGCATATCACTTAAAAAAATTCTCAGAAACGTTTTTAGTGGGAAATTAAAATTCAGCCAAATAAAAAGTGGTAGATTTAGCGTGAAATGCCACAAGTAGGTATCCTATGTGTAATACATATGGGTATTTTTTTTTAAAGAACTACAAGGTCGATTAAATTAGGGAAAAGTTGCCTAATTACAAGCCTATTAAAATAGAATTTAAAAATTAGTATAAAATCCGGGGGTTCTAAAAAACTAAAAACCTGTCAAAACCAAAAATATAACTTTATTGTTGGGAATTTTAAAAAAAGTAAGCTGTAAGCATACGAATTTATCAATTTCATCCAATTTTCGCTACAAAATGTTACATGTAGTTAGTTGTGACTCACAACTTGTGAGTTACCATTACCTTTTTTGTCTTCATAATGGCCGCCATAACTTATGTAGTAAGCTTCATTGTTGAATTCCTTTTTTTTCTACCTAACCATGTAAAATTCCTATATGGCGGCCATAGGAAAATGGAGGTGGTAACTTGAAGGCGAGAAAAATTAGAAAATGGACAATGTACATAAATATGTATGTTTACTTATGAAACTTTTTTCAAATTCCCAGGAATAACGAAGTTATATCGATTTTTAGTTTGTGGTCTTCAAATTATTTAAGAATCGCAGATTTTTTTTTCTAATATTCAAATGTTATTTTAAAGGACTTATTATTACCTAACTTTTCTCCAATTTAACCGACCTTGTAGCTCTTCAAATAAAAAGATACTCAAACATAGGATACTTGATGCACCCTGTTTATGCATACACAGGGTGTCCGTTATTTACCAAGTTGATTGCGCCCCCTAAATTTTTAGTCTATACCCTTAAAAAATATAAAACCAAAAGAGTTAATATTAAACCTTGCCGAAAACACAGAAACAGAAACAGTTTTAACGAAAAATTAAAAATTTCAATCCACTGCCCACACAGAACACGCTATCCAATGGATATCCAATGGCTATCCCAATGTCCATATAACATCCATGCCTTTTACGATATCCATTGGATATCCAATGGATATCCATACTAGATGTTCAAAAAAAACAAAAACACTAAAAATATTTTTTTCTTTTTTAAAATAGCCCCTTATAGGATAAATTTATGTAATGATTAATAAATATGATTTAAATCGTTATTAACCCAATTTCAACAAAGTATCTCTAATATATATCCAATGGATAACTAATGTATGTCCAAAGTATATCCACTGTACATCTAATGTATATCCACTGGATATCCACTGGATATTCAATGGATATCCATACTGGATGTTAAAAAAAAAACAAAAACATTAAAAATATTTTTTTCTTTTTTAAAATAGCCCCTTATAGGATAAATTTATGTAATGATTAATAAATATGATTTAAATCGTTATTAACCCAATTTCAACAAAGTATCTCTAATATATATCCAATGGATAACTAATGTATGTCCAAAGTATATCCACTGTACATCTAATGTATATCCACTGGATATCCGGTGGATAACTGATATGGATATCTTGTATATATACTTGTATGTATACATGTGGGATTTTGTGATGGTTTAAACTAGCATATGTAAAAAAAACGACTTTACGTTAAATTGATTTTTTGCCAAGAGCTACGAAATTTTTAATTTTGAAATGTTCACTTTACCCAGATAATAATATTTATATATTAATAATATTATTTCTGTTAATAATATGACTATGACAGTCTGCAATACAATAAAAAATTACTTAAAAAAGTCCTTTTTGTTTATTATTGTATTTCATATATGTACTACGCACGCGCTGAATTTGAGAATCTTCAGTGTTGCCGGTTATAAGCAAAATAACTAAACGAAATATATTTCCGTACTTTATTAAGTTTTAATAAATAAATTAAATAAATTTAAAATAATTATTCACCACATTTATGTCAAATAGGTATACTAGGTATACTAATTAATTAAGTATTAAAGATTTAATAATATAACCGCCATTTTGATGAGCTTTCTGAAATTATTTAAACGTCTGACAACACTGCCGGCAAAAACAGAAGATAAATGTCACCATATTACCTTGCCGCTGCATCTCGCCGCTGTCCAGGTCGCCCAACTAGTATATAGGTGGGCGGTTGCTTGGCTTGAAGCGTGTCTCTCGGCACCAACTGCCTGACACTGATGAGACCCAACAGGTCGAAACAGTCTGTCTGTCAGTGTTGGTGGGCATGGTACATTAGTCATTGTGCCATGTCAACCCGAGAGATGCGTTTCGGGCCAGGCACGGTGGAGAGATGTGTCGGCTTGTGTAATATTTGTCATTTTGGTTGCCTAACTACTGGCGTAGTAGTAAAACCTTGGCAATTTTTAACAAATGGGCTGATGGATTGGCCAAATTTTGGGGATCATAAGGAGACAGGTGAAATAGGCCCTAAATGATTAGGCTGATAAAAAGGCAAATGACAGCTGGAGGAGTGATGGCAAGCACTTCTTTAGTTATATGTAGTTTTCTGTTCTATTTTATGTTTTCATAAAAATAAATATTTACCCAACCCAACCCAATGTTATTTATTGAAAAGTAAATATCCATTGATTCACCATATCCAATACAGATGACAACCATATTGCATACAATACTATATCCACTGGGTATCCATTGGATATCCACACTATGTCCAGGAGGGTCGGACATTTATATATCCAATGGTTATCCATTGGATATCCATACAATCTCCATATTGAATACAGATTACAACCTTATTGCATACAATACTATATCCACTGGGTATCCATTGGATATCCACACTATGTCCAGGAGGGTCGGACATTTATATATCCAATGGTTATCCATTGGATATCCCGGATATCCTATGTATATCCTGGATATCCATAAAAGAAATCCATTGGATATCCATTGGATGTAATTGTTCCGTGTGGGTGGTGCAGACTAAAGATTTTTTTTTTTAATGTAAGATTTTGCAGAATTGTAAAAGTAAAGAGAAGTAAACCCACAACTAGCTTAAACTTGATCCTAGTGCACAAGCAGGCATATTGAACTTTTATTTTGACATTGAATAACTATTGAAAAAGTAATTTTATCGTAGAGCGTTTAATTCCCTATAAAAATATATATTAGATATTGGTGTATGTATATTTGCTTGTTGGGGAGAAAAAAAAGTAAATGTAAAAAGTAAAAAAATCCCATGTTATTTAAATGAAAAATTAATCGTGTTTTCGGCAAACTAAAAATTTAAGGGTGCTGAAAAAAAAATCAACTTGGTAAATAACGAACACCCTAACATACATATAGGTACATATTATGTAACTTAACTAAATTATTTCTGAATTATTAAAAATATTGGTATTGATATAATATTATGACATAATAAAGTATTGAATATACTTAAGGACGTATCTAGTTTTTGTTGCTAAGCAAAAAACTACAATATTAAGCAATAAAGGTAAACATATTTTAGCTTAGCACAAATAACGAGATACTCCTTAATGTATTGTCAAAGGCGATGTAAAATAATTATATCAATACCAAAATTATGTCAAAAATATAACGTCAAATAGTAAAACTTTAATACAAATAATATTTTTAATTTTAGCTTTACTTAAACAAATTGCATTAAAAAATCTTATAAATTCCATACATTTTTATTTTATATAAACTGCATTTAACTGGAGCTACGAAAATTACCAAAGCTTGTTGTGATAGAACTTGAGATCGAAGAAGCCTTGTTCCGTCAGATGACTGGGCGTTTTCTTTTGGGCCGGCTCGGCCTCGAGATCGACTTGTCGAACCTGCTCGACCAGCTCGTCGTGCGCTACATGGCCGTTCTGATGATCGGGCACGTCCGCATCGTTCACGATCTCGATCGAGTCGCCGTCCTCGGACATCTGAATGCGAAGGGATTGAGGTCGTTCAAGTTTGGGGGAGTCTGGTTTTTTTTCGATGGGTTTTGGAGACGGCGTCGCTCGAAGGTTTTCGATTGATTTGAACGAACTAGAATTATATGGGAAGACTTAACTTAAAGGTAACCGCCTAACGAGGCACGTGCCCTATACGAAAAAAGAAAATAAAAAAAATAAAAAACAAACAATATAATAATAATAAAATGGTAACAAAATATCAAATAAATAAATATGACAAAAATGACGGTAATGCAAATGTATAATTTATGCATAATATGTTTAAGTAATAATATTAAAATTTTATTATTATGATAGATTTTTAATATAAAAAATTTTAAGTTATGACTTTTTCAATTTAAAAACTACACATTAATGTTTTAACCTCTATTTTTTTTGCAGAATCAACTGTCAAGTTCGCTTGTTAATATCGTAACAGTGACCCAGTGTGAGTTATAAGCAATATAAGTCAAAATCTGCTTTGTTAGTATAAATAAAGTACCTATGTTAATTTTTGCGAGCAACAAAGAATTTTATTTATTTTTTTAAATAAAATTGTAAACTGTCTGTTTGTCAGTAATAAACAATGTTATAGTTATGATGCATGGACGCCGGCAGGGGGGCAAATTAAAAAACTATACAAAATCACATTTAAAGCTAATTTAAATATTTTGGAAGGCGTTGATATCAGTATTTTTTATTTTTGATATAGTACTCAATGAGCTCTATTTAACCATGTGGGAATATTTTTAAATTTTCCCAAAATATGAAAATAAGTCATGATATTTTTTTAGAATACCTATACTTTTTTAAATTTCAGGGGGTTCGTCCTCAAAACCCCCGGTAGATAGTAACATAGTGCCAAGTCAAAAAAATACTTTACCTTATTTGTACGCATAATAGACAGGGTCAGTATTCGTCAATTCGCTATGCTGTGAGAAACACCCTATATAAGGCATTGAGCTCAAACTTTATATAAAGGTATTTGAGACACGTCTGAATCGAATGCGCTATTCATTTTTTTTTAAACAATAATTGCCTTATGGTCGATCTCTAAATTTCGACCCATTTGGCAGATCTTAGAAAATTTAAAACTTTTCCACATGGTCAAACAGAGCTCATCAAGTACTGTCTAAAAAAATAAATTAAAATCGGCCAACGCCTTCCGCGGTTATTTAAAATAAAAATCGACCTGTCCAAGAGTTTTACTATAAAATCTATATTTTTTAAGTTCTAGTGGGGTTTATCCCCGTTATTCAAGATAAACTGGCTTGTTTTGGGGGTTGCATAGATTCTAATTGTATGGATATTATCATAGATCAAAGTTTATTGCGAATTAAGTCAAAATGCGAAAATTATACTGAAAAAGTACCGAACAACATAAAACAGACATAAAATACTTTATTGACTTACATGTAGTGTTTCAAAATTTCTGGACAGACTGGGCCAGCGGAAAAAAACGGTTATTTTTTTCGAAAAATATTCAGAAAAATTGATTTGCATTTTTTTCATATTATCCGTGGTACGAATTTAACTTTTTTTCCAATTTTTTGAAATTGCCTTTATTCTCGTATCCAAAAAAACCGCACCTTGCATAAAAAAAACGAAAAAAATCGTTTTTTATTAATTAGTATTTTTTTTCGAGCTACTAGAATTTTAAACAAAAAAATTGTGAAATATGCAGAAAAATTTATTTTTTCCTAGTACAGATAGTAGGCTCGAAAAAAAACTAAAACTTAAAAAACGATTTTTATCGTTTTTATTCTTCAAGGTGAGAAAAAAATATCTTTTTTTGGAAAAACTTGGATTTCAAAAAAGTTTAAGAACGCCCTTCGGCCATTTCAAGCGCGCGAAACGCACGAATTACAAAACTGTTTTTATAAAAAAAATTGTAGATTATTTATTATATAATATTTTGGCATCAAAATTGTCAAAAATATTCTTCTTCTATTGGGTTATACATTAAATAAAAAAAAACGCAAGAAATATTTTATGAAAGTAGATATAATTTTAATAATTGAAAGGTGTGGACGGGACAAAAAAAAGATTTATCTTGTCCCGTCCACCCCTGTCAATTATTGAAATTATCCCTAGTTTTATAAAATATTTCTTTCGATTTTTTTTATTTAATGTATAGCCTAATAATAGAAGAATATATTTGACAATTTTGATGCAAAAATAATATATAACAAATTACCTACAATTTTTTTTATAAAAACAATTTTGTGATTTGTCCCGTCCATCCGCTTGAAATGGCCGCCTTACTAATTAAAAATAAAGCTACGGCTATCTGCTATGTCTGTCTTTATTAAATTTTTTCTTCAACAGGATTTTTTATTCTTATGGGAATTTCTAAATTAAATAAAAATATTTTAAATGTTTTAAAATTTTATCCCATGCCCAATGTACATTACCCTATTATAGTAGTACCCACATACATTTTTTATTCAAATAATCTGTTTTGAAAAAATATAGTTTAATAAAAAGGTATTGATAAATAGCAAATTATAATGAAATGAAATGTTATAAAACAAAAAAATATAAATTCAATAATAAACAAAACTAATAGAAACGTATATAATAAAATAAAAACTGTACCTGTACGTGTTAATTTTTAAATTGTCCATAATATAATTAACTTACCCAACAGGAGTAGCAGGAGATGAGGGTACAGTGGATGTGTCATTATGTATTATCTAAAAAAATAAATAGAACCACGCATAAAACAGACGATTTAAGAAAACTTAGCTTTTGTTATATAATTATTTTTTACTTTTGTTATACCTGTCCCATGCTGCATTTTGGTCGTGGCGCCCCGTAGCGGCCGTACTGCGAAAAGCTACTGTGAGTAGGAACGCTTGGTGAGCTTCTTTGTGCTAACAATGAATCGCTAGAACGTTAGTAGAAAATTAGTTTTTTAATAGGTGTTAAAAATGTTTATAGTGTTTATGGTCTCAATAGTAAAAATTTAAAATTCATAAGCTTTTAGTAAATGTTACCCTTTTTTTCAGAAGTTGCAGGATTTTTAAAGATTAATTAATAATAAATAGAATATTAATAATTATTATGTTAATATTGTTTTCATTTAAATCAACAGATTTAATAGATTTATTGTGAAAAAAATGGTGCATGCAAACAAAGACTTTAGAAATGTGTTCCATTTATATAAAACCATACAATTTATTAAACTCATTACCTAAATTATTTTAGAAAAATCAAAGCTTGCTGAATAGTTTAATTAATGATTTTATTTCTTATAAGTATGATTAAGCTATAATATATAATATTTACAAGCAAAGCTTTGTAATTTACATTTTTCTCTTTTATGTAAAAAAATAATTTTCGATTAAATCGCACAAAAAGAAACTTTGTAATTTCGTTTTTGTACGGTGTTCGTGCATTGTAGTAAGCATTTTTTATGTGTTTAAATAATACGTATTATTACCCATACACGTAACAATTGTGGAAAATAATAGAAAATCATGCAGCTGTTCAATTCATGTAATTAAGTTTGTTACTTTTATTAGTTCGTTGATGCAATAAAGTTAAAAAAAATAAAAACAAAAAAATATTTTTTCATAACAATACGAAAATTACCAGTGATTTATATTATACTTAGGTACTACACGAACAGTTATTAAAATACTATTTACATTGCACATTTCTACGTAACTCTTAATATACAGTTGGTATACAGGGTATACCAACCATAGAAAAAGGATAGAAACTGTAGATTAAGAGGCTCTTAATAGGAGCTTTAAGGTCGGTTAAATTAGACAAGTCTACTAAAATGGCATTTAAAAATTACATAAAAAAATCAGCGGTTCTCAAATAATTTAAAAATAACTGAAAACTTGTCCAAACAATGTATATGTTTACATGTAAAACTTTTTTTCAAAATTCCCAGGGTTCCCAAGATTTTTTGGTTTTGAAAGGTTTTTAGTTTTTATATATTTTGGAAACCGCCGGCTATTTTCAACTTATAAATTTCTTGTTAAAAGGCTTGTTATTAAGCAACTTTTATCTAATTTAATCGACCTTATAGCGCTTTATTAAAAAAAATACGCATAGAACTATACACAGAAGGATTCTTGGTTAACCCTGTATATACAAGGTTTGACAAATGGAAAGAAAAAAAAGTAGGGCGCTTTTTCGAAATTAATTAAAAGTACATGCTCTTCAGAGAAACGTAACCAAAAAGCGCCCCACGTTTTTTGGCAATGAATATTAAGAAGTGACAAGTTTATTAATAGCACATATTTAAAGGAAATTTCATACTTTTCAGTAAATTAAAACGTGTTTTTTTAACGATTCATTTATTTTTTACATTTTAGTCTTAAAAGTTAGTTAGTATGTTAGTTACATCCTCCATATTGAAATTAGATTGACGTCACGTAATCTGCTGAAGATACCCGTTCATTAAATGACACCCAGTGTCAAGAAGGTTGTAATGAAATGGGTTATCCGCCATCTAGGGGCGCCTACTATATTGTATTTAGTATGACGTCACCTTACCGTTTTTTACTCTTCAAACTCTTTTATTTGATCCCTGTGTTAAGGAGGAAATAGGCAATCTGCCATTTGTGACATTACTCATTGTCTTATACTCGTCAAACCCTTTCACTCATGTCAACAAGGTTTTGAAGAAATAAAGGGTTTTTCAATAGGGTCATAACAATTTTGTTTATAAATAAAACACAGAATAATTGAGATATCGGGGACAATTTTATTTCAGGTGTAGTACACATATTACAGTTAAAATGGAATTCGACGTCGTTCATATGACCACCAATCCAATTTTCAATACCTCTTTCACACATATCAGCCGGAATGTTGGCATATTGTACCTGAGCTCCTCTAACGGTGTTGAATTGTTGGCATAAACCTTCGACTTAAGGTAACCCCATAAGAAAAAATCCAACATCGTCAAATTGCATGAGCGAGGTGGCCATTCGACTGGACCATTTCTTGAGATTAAACGATTACCAAATTATTCTGTTAATAAAGCAATTGTTTTACCACCTGTGTGGCTTCTGGCAACATCTTGTTGGAACCACATATCGTTGATGTCAAGTTCATCCAATTCTGGCCAAAAATTAACTTCCAACATGGCACTATAGCGAACTCCATTGACCGTAACAGGGTGACTATTTTCATCGACGAAAAAATTCGGCCCTATTACACCTCCGGCATGAAATCCACACCACACGTCAATTTTTGTGAATGCAATGCATGAGACATGAAGCACATGTGGTCGTCTTGCTGTTCAATAACGCATATATGCTTTCTCAATAAGCAGAATATATTCTGCTTATTGAGAAAGCCATTTAGCCAAAAATGAGCTTAATCATTTTCGATAAAATCCAGGATTCGGCGCTTTAAATGATCCAGAGGTTAGTTCAGTCCTGGGTTAATTTAATCTTGTAAGATCTTTACTCAAAATTCGCCATAATGTGGACTGAGAAATACCCAATTTTTGTAAACGGCGTGGAATCGACTTGTTTAGTTTATTTTGAATTGAAGCTCTTACGGCTGCAATATTTTTAGCATTTCGACCGGTGCGTTGTCTCACTGGCACAGGAACATTCAATAGTGAATATGTTGATTTAAATGTATTCACCATCGCAGGCACAGCTTGTCTGGTGGGACGATTATTGCGACAAAAAATTGGAGTAAGCGATCTTAAAGTTGCAACTATCGACTCAGAATTTCGGTAATAAGTTTTAACGATTTCCAAAAGTTGCTCGTTAGTGAGCTTCACCATGATAAAAAGTAAAATTTGACTGACGTTTTAACATTGACAGATCATTAAAAGTTTGTAGGTTATGTTCCGTATCATAAAACAAAATTGTTATGTCCCTATTGAAAAACACTTTAGATAATTGGCCATTTAGGGCGGCTTCCATATTGGATTTAGTGTGTATTGTACAGTTCTGAGCTATTCCAAAATTTGTACCGAACAGACAAACAAGAAAGCGAGTTAATAAAAATAATAATAAAAAAGTATCGCTTGGGTGTATTATCTTTGGTAGCGCCACCACTCGGCTGTTATCATCGTAACAAAAGTAGAACTTTTAATAATCAGCTGTCAGGGCTGGATGCTCCCGCGGACGAGTTTTGGTTCGCGCCGCGCATGACGTCACCTGATGAGTAGTTGCAGCGCGAATACACGTATAATGCCTATATTATCAAAGAAAATAGACAAATATCTGGACATAGTGCGTTATTTTTAAACTTGATATTGAAAAAAATGTTATAATATGGATGATAGATGATTTGGAAAAATATTTGATACTATTTAAATCTATTTTTTGTTGTAAATTTGATATTAAAAGTATTTTATTAATATGGATGCTAGTAATACTATCAAAACATAAAGAAATATCTGGACATGGCGTTTTTTGTGAATTATTATCAATAATACTACTACCACCAACCCCATTATCAGCAATTTCTGGTGGTTCTTCCACCCTATTAATTGATAAATTTAAAAATACACATGAGCAGACTAATAAATCAGTGGCGGCTGGTGGAATTTATGTACACCAATATATCAGTTATTAGACATGGGACCCAAACCAAATTTATAATAGTTTATAATGGCATTAAATAAACAAGTTCGGCGCAAACAGAATTTAAATTGAAGTTTGCGAAAAAAAGTTAGTTTTTCCTGTCGCCTCACCCGCTTCCAGGCCCCTCTATTTAAGATAATTCAAATTAAAGTGGTGCAATTTATTATCTACTATAATTTATCGACAAATTTATTTATTTATTTATTTATTTAACATCCAGATACACGTGTACAGAAAATAATTTCTGCCTATTGGAGGTAATAAAATTACCTGTACATAGGTCCGGTACATAACTTAAAAACTAGGATCTTAAAACTAAACTAAAACTAAAATAATATATAATATTTTCATTATCATTGCGAAAACAGCAGTTTTTCCTGTCGCCTCACCCGCCTCCAGGCTCCCCTATTTAAGATAATTCAAATTAAAGTGGTGCAATTTATTATCTACTATAATTTATCGACAAATTTAAAATTTTATTTAAAAAATCCAAATATTACAGGTTTTATACCATTTTAAATATTTTTTTATTTTAATAAAATAAATAATAAAAATTTAAAATCGAATAAAATCTGTAATATTTGGATTTTTTAAATAAAATTTTAAATTTGTCGATAAATTATAGTAGATAATAAATTGCACCACTTTAATTTGAATTATCTTAAATAGGGGAGCCTGGAGGCGGGTGAGGCGACAGGAAAAACTAACTTTTTTTCGCAAACTTCAATTTAAATTCTGTTTGCTCCGAACCAGTCTATTTAATGTCATTATAAACTATTATAAATTTGGTGTGGGTCCCATGTCTAAAAACTGAAATATTGGTATACCCAAAATCCTCCAGCCGCCACTGTAATAAATGCTTAAAAACTTACGTGTCTCTTGACGCTAGAAGGATATTACTAATAAGTTGAGCCTTTTCCAAGTGTTCTTTGGCCTTTTCCCTTTTTTCACTTAAAAGTTTACGATTGTGTCCACTTGTTGACGGCACAGAAGAAACCTGAGTTCGAGGTAAATTTTGAGTAGGCACAGCATCATCTTTCAGTCCACAATAACGTTTAGGGCTGTAGTTTAAGAGTTTATGTTTTAAATTAAAGTTGTAGGTAGTCACTGTCCAGAAAATGTTTAGAGCAAACAGTAGCGCGCTTAACGTTAATTTTGTCTCTTCTTTTCGTTGCATGTAACCACTTTTTGCACAAACTTATGTTTTTCGGAAATCGATGGTATTTAATGTCTTTATTTGTAGGGTTTTTCTTGGACTGGTTGTCCGAAATGCATCCAAATATGGCACAACGCATTTTAATAAATGCAAATTGCACAA